GCAGAAGTAGCACGACTCAAAGACAAGTTATCTATGATATCCTCTCTTATGCAGTGATGTACAGCAGAGCACCGGTGCATCAGTCGTGTGATTTCAAGGGACTTTTAATCACTTCAAAAAGGGAGGCATATGAGGGGTGGTGCATAAATACATAAATATAATCTATCTGCACGGAGCGTTGAGAAGCACGCTATCAGTAAAACTCAAGGAAACACTGGAGTCTGTCCCATGTGATGTTGCTGTATGATCGGAAAAGTTATCAGAAATCTTAATAAGATATTTATGTGATGAGAGCACAGCATGTCTTAGTTTTGTGGGCCAGCAGACTGTTGAACAAATGGATCTGTTTCCAGATCAAACTTCCTCTTGTACTCTAGGAGAGAGAAAAAGAGAACAGGGCGGTGTTGGTGGTGAGTCAATATTCCACTCCAGCCCAAGACACAATCTTTCCTCTCCTGCTCAAGTCTAAGGGCCTATCTGTTGGTTCTTTCTTGTGGGCCTTGTTCCAGATTTGCCTTGGCCCCGGTCCAGGTGTGGGAAGTGAAGTGTAAACAGTTTACAGATTGGCTGTGGCTGGGGAGGGCCGAGGGCTTTAGCTGGGAGGAATGTAACCTGAACACCACTTCACAGGGAAGCAACGCTGCAAGATGGAGCATTCGTGCATATTGTGTCGGGACCTAACAGGAAACTGACCGAGCAGTTCAAGGGAGAGTCGGCCGGTGAGAGTGGCTGCTGACGTCAGTGAACATGTGGGGGGGTTTCTGGCAGCAGTAAGGGGGCTGCCTGGCTTTTACCCCAAAAGCTATCTTGCTACAGCCAACATTTAGATTGATTGTAGCAAGTTGGGGTTTTTTTGCCATGCTTGATATTTTAGTGGAGAGTAGGAAGTAGAACAGGGTTACATAATTTCAAGATTTCAAAGCCTCATGCAGAAAAATCCCTTGATGTTGAATTTTTGTGATGAAACTTCCACCATAATAACTTTGGCCTCTTAGAAATGCAGGTTTGGGATCAATGTTGAGTTTAGTTAAACTTAATGCAAAACCTTGTGAAACATTTAGGCTGATTGTGGATCAAAGGAGTCCTCCTACATAGTACTGCGATTAGTGCTGGACTTCTGTAAAGTTGAGGGATTCAAAAGAGACAAAAAGCAACCTGTACAAACCTGAAACCGCTGTCACTACTGTGGGACAAGCAAATTTAATCCTACAGGTATCTCAGTCATGTCTTTTATTAACCTGTTCGTACACTGGAAACTACTCAAGAGTTATGGGTTACACTGAACAAAATTTCATATGTTGGTGAATGCACCTTGTGTGTTTCAGCACATCCGGCTTTAGGTGTGGATGCAGCAGTTCTGTCTGATTATCAGGCTAATAATAATGGATTTCATTTATATAGCGCTTTTCAGGACCCCTCAAAGCGCTTTACAATACCACTATTCATTCACTCTCACATTCACACACTGGTGAAGGCAAGCTACAGTTGTAGCTACAGCTGCCCTGGGGCAGACTGACAGAGGCGAGGCTGCCATATCACGCCATCGGCCCCTCTGGCCATCACCAGTAGGGGGTAGGTGAAGTGTCTTGTGTCAAGGACACAACGACCAAGACTGTCTGAGCCGGGGCTCGAACCGGCGACCTTCCAATTACAAGACGAACACCCAACTCTTGAGCGACGATCGCCCCACCACTAACCCTATTTTGTTTCACTTCATTCATTCAGTCTGACATGTGTTCATGTTGGGAGGGGAGTTCCTTTGATTTAACTCACCAGTGAGTCAAAATTTTAGACTTGTTTTTCTACAGGTTATCCTTGCAACAATTAGCGCAGACGTAACAGAGATCACGTCTCCATGTTCGCTGCCATTCTTCTATTGAGAGTTTTTGAGAATGTGCCTTGGCAGTGAAATAGAAAGATGACATCAATATCCAACAGATCTCTATCTCTGACAGTTAAAGTGCACCACACACTTGTAGCATCCACTTTAGGATGCTTTGTTTGTGCCATCCCTCTCTCTTTTTTTCCCCTTTTTGCTTCTTGGTGAAACTCTTTCTTTATAGACTGTCAGCTGTCAAACACTATAGACTCTATTAACACACATATGCATATGGATATGAATCTGCAGGATAGCAGAAACATGTTTTTTGATTGCATGCAGGGAAACAGTCAAGTTAATTTTAGTAGAATATTATTATTATGATTATTATTAGTAGTAGTAGTAAACTGAAAAAGGAAGTCTTGATATCAGTTTACTCCACAGCGAGCTTCAAAAGACTGGCTGTAGACTGGAGATGATAAACTGAGTGTCAAATGAGAAAAAATGTCCACGTACATCACTATTAAGAGATTCCACTGAATTATATGTATAGAAAGCTAAAGGGATGACTTTGGCTATCAAATATTATCAAAAATAATTCGATCTTGTTTTGATATGGTTTAATTAATGACAAGGTGGTTGTAAATTTCAAAACTCATAGAAATAGTTTCTGTACAAACTGTCCTCAGATGATCGTACTTCATCGACTACATTTATTCTGTATGTTTATGCAAACACGCACACACACCAGTGTGTCAAGCATCATGCATGCTTAAAATCACCTGGTGTGTCATGATGTGGATGTGCCGTTTCTGTTGTCTGAGAATGAATGCGGCAGAGCCTGCTGTTGCTGTTGCACTAAACCTCAGCACAGGAAAATGAGGTGCTGGAAACAAAGAGCTTTGAGGAAGTAGACGCATATCTCCAAGGACACATACCACCCAGCAGATCAAAGGACCTAGAGGACGCGTTTGATGGGGAAACCACACTGGTTTTCAAAGCATTGTAGTCCTGAATCTCACTAGCTCGCCAAGGCCCATGATAGAAATTCTAATACGTCCGCCTGTCAGTTAATTGAAGCCCCATTCTGTCCCTCGGGGGAAAGCAGTCTGGTCTTTGGAGAGTATCTTTGTCCTGCTGCATGGCCATCATTAATTATTATTCCTCGATCACCTCCTCAATGACACAGTTTATTGTTTGAGTGTGGTTTTTTTCTGTCTTGTCACCATTCTCTTGTCTTGGGAGAAAACACTGATGTTTGACAGAGAAAAAGATCACAGCTATCCACATATTCACTCATATCATATCAGCCTACCTTTGGGGAAGTTGTGTGTTTGCTGAGGAGATGCTTGGTTGTCAGTGTTGTAACATTTGATCATGGGAAAGCGGGGGGGATTCGGAGTCTGTATCATTGTTAGTCTGCATGAAAGCAGAATATATGGTAGAGGACATGAGAAGGACATGAGAAGAAAATCAGCTAGAAGTTTGAAAGTCACTGTATTTAGCAAAGCGATTTTTCTTTTTTGTGTGTGCATATTTTACTCTCGATAGAAGAATAGATACTTGCTTCCAAAGAGCAGCCCTGTCAGTCTAAAGACATGTCCCTTCTTCTGCACAGACAAGCAATGTTCCAGACAGTCAGGAAGTCAGCCCTGCCTGTGTGCACAGTTCTTAGCGAGGAGGAAGTGATGAGCGATGGCAGCCAATCTGAGCTCATCCCCGTCTCGACATCTGGCAGATGTGCTGTGTGGTGTAAAGTATACATTTGATCTTATCAGAATATACTCGTCTAAGGATATCATGCTATCAAGATTAGGGTTATCTTGTCCAGAACTGTGTTTGACAACCACAAACCATGTATGTTTTTCAGCTTGACGTGGATGCGCTCCTAGTGAGCGGGGATGACGATGCGTTCTGCTGACAGTACTGACAAATTATCTCTCATAACATTGACGAATGGTATTAAGTTGCAATGATATCATAGCATTTCTGCAGCTGTGTCAGCCTGGAGCTCTCGCAGGATGCTCTGTATACATATATATATATATATATATATATATATATATATATATATATATATATATATGTATGACACTCCAGCTATAGACGCTGGCTCTCGCTTTGGGGGTCTAAAGAGCACTTGGAACTCTTGATCAGATCACCGTGGTTTATTGCTATGGCACACAGTGTTTCTATAGTTTCCCTCTTTGTCTTTGTGACCTCCTATCTCCAGACCAAATGACCAGTTAGGGCCTTGAAAGGGAAATTGCATGCATTCCTCCATAATCGTAAGAGGTATTTACATATGCTCACTAAATAATTATGTGGTCCAGCTGGGAGCATCCAATGAATTTTTCACAAAAGCACTTTCTGTTATTTACATTCCTAAAATGTAATGTGGTTTACTTATGCAGCTGGACGGGCCAAATCAAAGCATTCGTTCCCTGGGACCAAGTGCAGGCAGAAGGAGAGGGAGAAAGAAAAAGAGAGAGAGAGACAGGAGGGGGGCTGAGGAGAAAAAGTTCAAAGCGTGCAAGGTCAAGCTTGAGGGTCATTCTCTCAGTGCCTTTTCACAGCCTGCGTGAATACATAACCAGCAATTGACTTTCTAATCGGGAGGGACCTCATAAAATATGCGGTTTAACAATAACGATTATCATGGGCCCTTTTTTGTTTCCACCTTGTGTGTTAGTCTAGAAGCATCTAAAGTGAGCTGGATATGAAATAATGATGGAGCAACTGCTGGTGCTGGATTCCTTTTGGCTGCATGTTACGCTCCCGAAATACAAAATGACAGCCGACCATTTCCCTCTTGCCCGCATTCATAAAAGCCTCTCCCTTCTGGATTTTTCCTCTGATTGGATCAAAGCTTTGACCTGTATTTCCAGGTGGCCTTTCCTGATCCCACTGGTGCCTCCAGAGTGGAGACCTTTGCGGGGGCACCTGGGAATTACCTGATCGGCGGCGTAGTCGGCGGCTGTCACCAAGCTCTTGTCTGTTTGATGTCACCTCTGACACCAGCCTCTGTAGCGATCACCGGGGAGATCTGACGCCCTTGCTGGGCTGTGAATAATAGAATACATCTACCTGTCTCAGACCACCATTGTCACCTGTGCTCTCCTATGATGAAATGTTCCCATGCTTACCTCCGTGGGTGATGTGTTCTTCCTGTCCGTTTCAGGGTACAAAGCGAGGTGATGGTGGCGAGCCATGGGAAGGATGTCAACAAGGTGGCTTAGCTAGCAGTGCCCAGTGTTCCCATAACGGCCAAGGAGTGCCTGAAGAGGAGAGTGGAGAGTCAAACATGGCAAAGGATGACAACGGAGAACCGGGGGAATGGAGGACTTCGCTCTCTGAGCAGACTCAGTGGACTTCAGTCAACAGTGAGAGACACCAAGTGATGTTCAGTGTGCTCTCCTTTCCCATTTGTTCAATCTCCAAACTCCCCCACCAACATGAAACTCATCACAAATTTGTGTTTGCATTTTTTAGTGTAAGCATTTGGCTCTTTTTTTGTCTTAAATGTTTTTTTCCCTCTTTTCTGAACAAGTGTCTGTGTTTTTATTTCATAGTATTCCACAACAGTCTCCTTTCCATGAACCGTTTGCTTCCAATCACCTGTAATCAATGACAGCTCCCCCGTTTCATCCTCTGGCCTGTCAGGCTTACCCCAACAAGACTGTGTAAGAGGTCAACACTTTAACATGTGAATCTGTGAGGTTGTTGAGGGTCGACAAGTGCCGATGCAAGTATGGATAAACGAACAGATAGACGGATGGATGAGGATGTGGTGTTTATAGTGGGTGATCGAGCAGCCGTGAGAAAGCTAGAGCTGCGGTTTGGCCTGACCTGTTGCTGTTTCGGAAGAGTCTGTCACTCTTCACATTAACTGACCAAAGGCAGCGCTCCTGCCAGTTGGCTGACGAGGGGATGTTTGATTTTTCTGAGATTGTGTCAAAATAAGGCGAATTTAGGAAGGGTTTTCCCCCAGCTCGTGATATCGGTCAGTACAAATATGCCACAGATGCACGTACAGTAAATCAGCACACAGGAAGTAATATTCATGGTAGTGTGGCTGCGGTGGTTTTCATCAAAGCCACTGTCCTCATGGAGCACACGTGTGTGTCAGGCATCATCTGCTGTGGATTAGCGAGGTCTGGGAATGTCTGTGGGTTGATCTGGCCCCCATCATTTTGTCACCATATGTCACTTGTTATACCCTTTCTAATAAATTTGACATATTTTGTACCGTATGTATAACCCGCCACATATGGATTTCAGCTTGTTTGCAAATTCTTTCTGCATAACATTCTGAACTTTATATGCACATCGCTGTCAACATTAAGCTCAATGTCAGCATTTAAAAACGGGATTCAGCAGTCTACTGTCAGGGCAGAGGAGCATTCACAGTGAAGGTGCCGTACAATGCATCAGGGCTTCCTCACTTCTGTGCTTTTTCTTTCTTTACAAAATTGTCTTTCTCTCCACCACCCGTTTTTTCCATTTAATTTTCTGTCCTAACCTTCCTTCTGCTCATTCTAGCTATCTCTCCTTCTCCCTCCTTCTACCCCCTCTTCCTAGCCTCTCTCTAAGCTGTTTGGAGATACATTCCTCATTCCTTGAATGCACACAGAAATGCTGGGTGCCCTGGCGTCAGCACTTCTTAAAATGGGCTGCTGCCACTGCTGCTCCAGCTCAAGAGAGAGAGAGAGTGAGATGAGAGCAAAAGGAAAATCCAGTAAATCGGCCAAACTCAGGAAAGTACTTTCATTAAAACAAGTTTCTTTGAGAAGGTGGAGGTTGATATGGAACAGCCTTATCAGAAGTGATCAGGCTGCAAAGGGCTACAAGCTTTAGAAAATAAGGATGCATTTCATGTGTACACATATGCAAGGTGGAGACTTTATTTGGCTGCAGGAATCTGCATCACTGAGCTGAGTAGTAAGCGCCTGTCTCAACTCTGTATTTCTCTGCTTGTTACCAGTTTCACTGAGAAACAGTTTCAGTCTGTGTGTGAACTGTGTGTGAACTGTGTGTGTGTGTGTGTGTGTGTGTGTGTGTGTGTGTGTGTGTGTGTGTGTGTGTGTGTGTGTGTGTGTGTGTGTGTCTACCACCTGCTAAGCCATTATCCCTATAGATCTCCTATTATCCAGTCCACACACGATGAGATTTATTTCTCACCCTGGTCAGTCTCCATGAGAGGTAATTACTAAGCAAGGAAACACGGGACTTCCTGGAAGAAGCTTATCAGAATCCAGACACCATCCACTTTCTTAAATGTGACTGCCAAGCTAGGACTGATAACACAGAGCTACACTATCCCTCTCTTTTTACATATTAACCACAGTGTCCTTCTTTTTCTTTTCTGGCTTTTTTTTATGCCATGATTAATAATTTTGGATTAACTGGGTAATGTGAAAGATGAAGCTGGGGTAATTCTGTTCTTTTCATTTCTCTTGAATACTAGTAATTATCTTAGCATCACATCATCTAACAGTGCTGTAGAGTTTTAGCAGTTTTAAACAACAGAACCAGGCTCAGGGAGGGGCCAGGTTTCTTCCTGAGTCTTTCCTTCTCAGTGTTGCCAGGTGGTCCTAGGAGGTCGTCTGACTGTTTGATTGTTGGGATTTTCTCTGTATTATTGGTATAAGATTGAACTAAATTGAATTGAACCTGATGAATGGTATCCAGTCAACAAGACACACCAGTCAGTCAGATTTAAAGAATATTTGTGGTTTATTGCAGCATACGTCTTTTCACAGTGTTGACCATCCTGATCGCTGGGGGGAAATGTGTATTCCGCAATCAGTTGGCAAGAGGTGGCAAGATTTTGCTGGCAATCACTAGCATGGAACTGGGCAAAAAGAGGTACACACACACCTCCCTGTGATTGAAATAGGTAGTCATCTTATTACAATTTAAACCTGTAAAAATTTAGCTCTGTATAGTCTAAGGAGCTTGGAAAGAAAAGCAGCTGGACTTCGGTAAGTTGAAGACATTTCACCTTTCATCCGAGAAGCTTCTTCAGTTTTAAGGTCAAAGGTGGAGCTCCTTAGACTGCGATGACCTGGATGACTGAGAACCTTGACAGACTTAGCTCTGTATAGTTATAAAAATGAAGAAACTGGTCATACAAACTAAAACGTGCTTATAGTCATTTTCTGGCTTTTGTGTCAGATTGTAAATATGTGTATTCATGCCAGTGAGGCAGACATTTTAACATGAGAGTCTCTGGGGGTTGACTCGCTTATGGAGCCAACCACAGGTGGCTAATCAATGAGCTGCTTTTTTCGCTTCGGTCTTGGCTCCAGGGTCTTTACCTTACAGTATAAAGCACATTGTTGTGATTTGTAGCTATACGAATAAAACTGAATTGAACTGAGTTGAATCTTTCACTCTTGCCACGTAGTTATAATTCACACAGTACATCACTAAAACGACAAAAACACAGCCTTTAATAAACTAAAAGTATTTGTTAATACGCAAGCCAGAAGTCTCTCTACTTATTTCACCATAGGGCAGAAGCATCAGGCCTTCTGTTTTGCCTCTCTTCTTGAATCTGTTTCAGCACTTTGTTATCTGATAACTCCCTTGGGATGTACATTATCACCTAACAGACTGAAACTAGGAAGAAATTTATCAATCAATATCATGCTGTGGTTTTGGTAATCCCTGGCTATGTGTAATAGGTTGCTGAAATCCACTTTTTAACACGCTGACTCAGTCAGTCGAACAGACCCACCAGGCTCTTTCTGCTGCTCCTCCCTCTGCTCTGCCCTTGATCAACCCAGGGTGGAGAATGCACATGGGGACCACCCTTAGATTAAAGGAACCTATTGCTCCCTTGATCAGTGGGAATGAACTCTAAACATACTCAAACACACAGAGAGAACAACATATGTGCGTGATTACATGTACACAAAACACGATGGAATGTCATATGGCAGTATAATATCAACTGAATTTGATGACACACTCTTCACCGAGTATGTATATACATGTGCATAAAGTCACAGTTAGATGCTCATATTTCAAGGAGAGACGCCATGAAAACGTAAAATAGGAGACAGAGACGAGCACAGAGTGGGTTCCCTCATTAAAGTCAGTTGCAAACTATGGTGTGGTGTGCGCTGGTTTCACAGGCCGCTGGTTTTAGCTGGGTGTAAGCTGGGTGTAAGCTGAAACCTTGATGTTGTGATGCTGCTGTCGTCAGAGGGCTGCAATGTGTCAGCCAGATGAGGTTTGCCATTAAGTCCCTATCACCATGTACAGTACAACTCCCAAAAGACCTTCTGAGCAGTCTCCTGTCAATCTGTCTCTGCTTTCTCCTCCTCGCTCCCTCTCTTGGTTGTTGCCATGGGGTGCGGTAGTGCAATGGCGGGCATCTGAAGGCTGGTGCAGAGAGACGTGGGGTTAAAGATGGAACGGCAAGAGAAAGGGGAACGGGCCAGGCGAGAAAGATAAGGATGAAGGGCAGGGAGAAGGGACAGAAAATAAGATGGAGACTGAGAGAGATGAGAAGAAGGAAAAGGGGGTAAGGAAAACCAAAGAGAGGGGATGGTGGGTGTTTCTCCTTTTATTTTTGCTTCCTTAGAAAATAGCTTTGGACTCTGTGCTTGGCTGATAGCACTGCTACTGGCACACGAACACACATAACACATGCATACACAAACACAAACTCCTTTTGCTTGTTCTGCATGGCAATCACCATGGTAACCCAATGTACAGAACACAATCGGGCTGGGATATTTTTAAGTTTCAAAGGAATGGAAACAACAATAGGGATGACAAAGGGAGGAAAAGATGAGAACTACAGAGAATGAGAGAGCGAGGGAGAGAGAGAATGAGGGTTAAGCCAATCTAAGTGCAAGCAGATGGATACACGAGTGTGTGTTAGGGTGTGTGCGTGTCCAAGGTCACAGCCCAGAACCATCTGCATAGCAAAAGGCGAGAATAAGAGATGGTGAATAACAGGCAGTGCGTAAACACGTTACAATGTCAATGCAGGCAAATTACAATCTAATTTACCAAACAAAGAAAAGTAAACAAAGAATTTCTGCATAGCATCAAAAAAAAACCTTTATTAATGGTGCCTGCAGCAGAGTGAACTGCAGGTAGTGCTAGCTTTGTTATATTGTACTGTTGTATGTATTGTCTGGCGTCTCAGTTGTTCAACACTGTGCTGTACTGTGAGACCAGACTGACCCTGTAGCACCAACTGTGTCATACTTGTCAATAGGATTTCCTTAACATTAATCTTAACCCTCTTGTATGTCTTTGTGTGTTTAAGATAAACAAATTGTGTTTTTTTTAATTGTCAGAAGTTTCATAAACACTTCAGTAGAATTTTCTGACTGTTATTTCATAGTTTAGGCTTTACAGG